GATGGATATATTCAAGGAAAGCCAACTAAAATTCTGGCCGATTCTGGAGCCGAAATATCTTTAGTGAGAAAAGATTTCGTCGAAGAAAAGGGCATTGATTATGATGTATGTGTTGAAGCTCAAGAAGTATTTAACCAGCTATGGTATAGGTACAACCGTGCATTTCTACACCTGGTGGTCGAGTGCAGCTCCAAATTAGCTCCAAATTAGTTGTAAGATGAATCGATTAACTCATCGTATACCGGCTTTAGATTGCCTAGATTGGCCTATGCTCATGAAGAAATTCAGTACTCGACTGTGTCCACAGCCATATGTGAAAATGCTAATTTTCACTCTTTCCAATACACCAATTCTCCATTGGTAAGAATATTTCTTGTGATTGGGGAGTTGATGCTATCTCAATCTTACTATCATGTCTACATTGTACAGAATGGTATTGAGCAACGGTAATTGAGGAGGGAGTAAAAGAAGGGAAATTAATATGTAATGAAGGTTAATTTCTAGAATTTCCTTCAAGATCTTGTATTGGAGTTATTCTAGTTTAGTTTTTGTATCGTGATTAAGTATTCTAGCTTTAAAAATGGGCTTATTTGGTTAAATTATAATAGTCGATTTTACTTAGTATATTAGTATATTGTAAACCTGACTGCTCTATTCGGATAAGATAATCCGTAGCATAATTTTTGTTAAGAATCAGATATTATGATTTTATAATTCAAGCGATATATTTAGTTGCCTGAGCTGTTATTGGAGTGCCAAAAGCATCAATAACTTGTTGATTAACTCTTGGCTTATTCCAGGGTATGAGAATATATATATATATATGTTATGTATATATTATTGGCACTATTACTGGAAAATATTTCCCTAGCCCAAAATATCAAATTAACCTTCATTAAAAATCCATCAAAATAGAGTACGAGTAGGGAAACATCTCCATTAGAGTAAAAAATGAGCAAGAAGAAGGCAGTCTAGTGCAGGCCTAGTCGATGGCGAATAGCCTATGTTAAAAATTCTGTTAATGTCACCTCAATCTTGCTATCGTGTCTACATTGTACTGAATGCTATTAAGCAATTTTAGGTGCGGAAGGAGTAAAAGAAGGGAAATCAATCGATCAAAATAGAATACGAGTAAGGGACAGTAAACAAGTGTAGTGTAGCAGTGGATGGCGAACTGCCTATGGTGTAAATTCTGTTAATGATGTCTCAATCTTAGTATGGTGTCTACATTTGTAGTGAAAGATATTAAGCAATAACAATTGCGGAGAGAGTAAAAGAGAATACGCGTAGTAAGCTTCATTAGAGTAAAATGAGCAAGAAGAAGGCAGTGTAGTGTAGCAGTGGATTGCGAATAGCCTACGGTGTAAATTCTGTCAATGATGTCTCAATCTTAGTATCGTGTCTACATTTGTAGTGAATGATATGAAGCAATTAGAATTGCGGAGAGAGTAAAGAACAGAAATCCATCCATCAAAAGAGAATACGCGTAGGAAGCTCCATTAGAATAAAATGAGCTAGAAGAAGGCGGTGTAGTGTAGCAGTGGATGGCGAATAGCCTATAGCGTAAATTCTGTTAATGATATCCCAATCTTAGTATGGTGTCTACATTTGTAGTGAATGATATGAAGCAATTAGAATTGCGGAGAGAGTAAAAGAAGAGAAATCCATCCATCAAAAGAGAATGCGAGTAGGAAGCTCCATTAGAATAAAATGAGCTAGAAGAAGGCAATCTAGAATAGCAGCCGATGGCGAATAGCCTATGGTGTAAATTCTGTTAATGATGTCTCAATCTTAGTATGATGTCTACATTTGCAGTGAATGATATGAAGCAATTAGAATTGCGGAGAGAGTAAAAGAAGAGAAATCCATCTATCAAAAGAGAATGCGAGCAGGAAGCTCAATTCGAATAAAATGAGCTAGAAGAAGGCAGTGTAGTGTAGCAGTGGATGGCGAATAGCCTATGGCGTAAATTCTGTTAATGATATCCCAATCTTAGTATGGTGTCTACATTTGTAGTGAATGATATGAAGCAATTAGAATTGCGGAGAGAGTAAAAGAAGAGAAATCCATCCATCAAAAGAGAATGCGAGAAAGAAGCTCCATTAGAATAAAATGAGCTAGAAGAAGGCAGTGTAGTGTAGCAGTGGATGGCAAATCGCCTATGGTGTAAATTCTGTTAATTCTGTTAATGATGTCTCAATCTTAGTATGGTGTCTACATTTGCAGTGAATGATATGAAGCAATTAGAATTGCGGAGAGAGTAAAAGAAGAGAAATCCATCCATCAAAAGAGAATGCGAGAAAGAAGCTCCATTAGAGTAAAATGAGCTAGAAGAAGGCAGTGTAGTGTAGCAGTGGATGGCAAATCGCCTATGGTGTAAATTCTGTTAATTCTGTTAATGATGTCTCAATCTTAGTATCGTGTCTACATTTGTGGTGAATGATATGAAGCAATTAGAATTGCAGAAAGAGTAAAAGAAGAGAAATTCATCCATCAAAAGAGAATGCGAGTAGGAAGCTCCATTAGAATAAAATGAGCTAGAAGAAGGCAATCTAGAATAGCAGTGGATGGCGAATAGCCTATGGTGTAAATTTCGTTAATGATATCCCAATCTTAGTATGGTGTCTACATTTGCAGTGAATGATATGAAGCAATAAGAATTGCAGAAAGAGTAAAAGAAGAGAAATCCATCCATCAAAAGAGAATACGAGTAGGAAGCTCCATTCGAGTCAAATGAGCTAGAAGAAGGCAGTGTAGTGTAGCAGTGGATGGCAAATCGCCTATAGTGTAGTGTAAGAGGTGAGAGCGGCTGTTGGACTCGCCGTCAAGTTGTTGTCAGCCAAACGACGATGATGACCGATACACTCGGTCAAACGATAGAGATGAAAAGGCTGTTTGAGATAGTGGACTGTAAGCGATCACTTCGGCCCTTCTTCAATCCTGCCGCGCTTCTTGAATCATAATTGTAGAAATCATCCTCGTTATTGGCATACTTAGTTGGTTATTGCTATTGCTCATCGTCGTCAAGCAGTCGATTGCAGTCTAATATCATCATTGGTGTGCTATAACCTTGTCGATGATGGACAGTTGTATCTAAAACTCTACAGTTCTCCTAGTAAGAGGCAACGTCGACGACATCCGCTCGATATTTTCTACCATCCAAGCACGTCCAAGCTGCATTGCCAGATTGATGGTGGATCGACGACGATCAACAACTTCATCGATTCTCTCCATTCATATGGTCAATTGGTCCTTGATGATCAGCTTGGATGATCGTGTGGAGTGCAAATCCATTACTTTACAGTGAATAGAGGATAGTTGTTCAACGTAGCGATTGTACCATCCACCAGTAGACATCGGATTGAAGAGCAAATTTCAACAGCATAACATCAACATCACCATAAGGTAAGGCCTACAACATTTGCAATATTGCATTCAATAAACAATCATGTCGTTGTTGTTGTCAATAAATTCGACATACGTGTAGAGTTGAATCAATTCCATCTTGCTATTCCATTCTGTTATGGTAGACGAATTCATACTGTCCATTTCATCTCTTTCCTATCCAATTTTGCCACTATCTATTTCCATCCAAGCTTGTGCTGCCTGATCGGACAACGATTATACGAGTACTTTTCATCGATGGCAGTGCAATCTTGGCGGTAAGCACCTTTCCATCGGCAAGTTTGCATTCTGGCTTATTAATGAAACGTTTATCGCCAACACATTCATTCTACTTTAACATTATATCTGTCTAATTTGAATAAAGTATCGCCATCGACGCGGACAATTTCTTCATCAACACAAAATCATTCACCATCCAGAGATCAACACTGACGAGATTGCATTCCCGTTCAGTATCGATCCTATGTCAATCAACCATCTCCAATCCTATTAGACACTCATTTCCTAGCTCAACACTGAATTATTCGTCATCGATCGATTTTTTTCCCCCTAATTTCAACATCTTATGTGCCCAATAGAATGAGAGCTTCATCGATACACTAACTTCTTTACGAAACACGATAGCATTCATCATTGATCGATTTATTCCGCTTTCAATATTGTGCCTATCTAATGCAAATAAACAATATCAACATTTCCATCGACTGGATTTAAATACAGCTTCTACTTCCGCTTTTCTTGGCTAAATACTGCATGATTCATCATCGACAGATTGATTCCCCTTTCAAAATCGTGTCTAATCGTATCAATAAAGCATCTCTATCTAACGACTTATTTGCCTAAATAAACATTGCATGATTCATCATCGCCTGATTTTCTATTACCTTTAACATCCTATCGATCCAATTGAAATTTTACTTTTTCCGTCGGCACTCTCATTTCCCTACGAAACGTCGATTCATCATCTGCACATTTTCTCCTAGCTTCAACATCATATCGATCCTATTGAAATTTTGCTTTTTCCATCGACACTCTCATTTCCTTACGAAGCGTTGATTCATCATCAGCACATTTTCTCCTAGCTTCAAAATCACTTCGATCCTATTGAAACAGGGCTTTTTCCATCGACACTCTCATTCCCTTACGAAACATGGATTCATCATCAGTACATTTTCTCCTAGCTTCAACATCATATCGATCCTGTTGAAACACAGATCTTCCCACCTACACTCTCATGTCCTTACTGAAACACGGATTCATCATCGACAGATTTATGACAGATACATTAAATCAAAGCCTACCTTAAAGTTATACGTGCTCCATTTAAGTAAAGCTTCTAGTTCTTTACTCTTTTGCTTACTAAAAGTACGATACGATCCATCATTGAAAGATCAATTGATTCAAGTCTAGGCAAAGCGAGCGATATCCATTTCTTTTCAACAAAAATTGCTAAATTTCTCACTTTTTACTTTCTAGGCATTGCACGATTCAAGAACGAAACATTTTGTTAAAGCCTATTCACAACTAGATTGATTTCGTTAATCCAAAGTCAGCAACATTGAGCAAGAATGGCCACATTAACTTACATCATCATTATGGTCATTACCTTGTTTTTAACTTTGCTATCGAGTAACACTTTCGGATTAAAAGTCGTCACTTTACCCATGTATGGCAAAAGTCATACCATCATTATGGAAATTGTCAGTCGAGAACTGCAATTGCGTGGACATGATGTTATTTTAGTGGTCGAAGAGAGAGACGCCTTGGAAAATAGCCAAGTTCCTATGGCTAGATTTAATATTGATCAGCCTATTAGCTTTGATAAAATTACCAAACTAATTAATAGTAAGAACGGTAATGCAGTTATTGCTTATATGATCCAAGTACAAAAATCATATTGCAGTAAAACCTTGAATAACACTCGAATCATGCAAGCTATTGCCGATGCCGATGTCGTTGTTAGCGATCTTGTCTACCTTTGTAGCTATTTATTACCTGAAAAAATAGATAAAGTCAACATTTTACTATCACCTGGCGCTTTCATGGATTTGTATATTTATGGCTTATTGGAAAATCCCAATCCACTAGCTTATATACCCCAATTTGGTGTCCAATTAACTCCACAGATGTCATTCTATCAACGCATTGTCAACTGTTTTGCCGGTATTTTGACGAAGCTCATTGTCCATTATTATTCCACTCCTGCAATCAACGAATTACGCCAACAATTCAATATTAGCTTAAACCTTTCTCTACGCCAATTATTTTTAAAACCTTCACTTGTATTATTGAATGCTGATTTTGCGATTGAATTTGCACGACCACTACTACCTAATGTTCGTATGATTGGCCCATTAACACCTCAACCTCCTGCTAGCCTACCTCAGAAGTTGCAACTATTTATGGATAAATGTCATCGTCGTGGTGTTATTTATGTTTCACTTGGTAGCCTATATCAATTTCGTGATGATCAATTACCTGCATTAATGGATGCATTTGCAAGGCTATCACACTGCATCTTATGGAAGACTGCAAAAGAAATCGATAACCTCCCTTATAACGTTAATATCGGAAAATGGCTACCTCAAAATGATATTTTAGGGAGTCAAAGTGTTAAAGCTTTTGTAACTCATTGTGGCTCCAATAGTATGTATGAAGGGGCTTATCATGGTGTTCCTATGATTGGCATTCCTATAACAAACGAACAAAATACAAACATGATACGCATGATTTATGCTGGTATTGCAGTCCATGTAAACTATAACGACTTTAATGCAAGTGATTTAGTTTCAGCAATTTCACAAGCGACCAACAACGACAGCTTTACTCGAAACGTCAACAAAATTTCAAGACTACTGCGTAATAAACCGCGCACTCCACGCCAATCCGTAGTCGATTGGATTGAATATATAGCCGAAGGTAAAGGAGCAAATCACTTAAGAGTCTATCAATACAGCTTATCTTTTTGGCAATTATACTTTCTGGATATGGCCTGCTTAATTATCGTCTTACTGTCGGTAATCTATTACTGCTTTCGAAGCTCTTGTTGTCGAGGAAAATCCGTTAAAGATAAATCTGACTAATTCTCCTTCCTTACAGGAAATAAAATTATTGCCAAACTAGATAAATTTCTTGCTCTTGCTCTTGCTACAATCCAGTTCGCACGACCTGTAGTCTGCATATTGTATCGGATATGTTAGACTACATAAGTTTTTGCATTTGGATGATTTGATACTCAGTGGTATTTGCATAACGTTAATTGCCAACCACTGCAACTGCATACTTTATACGTACTCTTTAGGTGCAGTTCCATTTACTGTATGATATTATGAACATAAATTGCCTTATGATGCTATCAAAGCATGAACCTGACAATAAAATGACTTCTTTTTGTGTGTAGTCATGCCTCGATACTTTTTCTTATTGCATACGAACCTTTGATGTACAATCCTATTAAAGGTGTCACTCTACTAAAATAAGTTGCAAACCATTTTATATTTATTATTTTAAATAATTTCACCTTCATGTTTCCAAGCTACTTTGTTTAGACTTATATTTAATATGCGACTATGTCATCTTGACTGTTAGCTTAAGTCAAGCCTTCATGATAGATGATATCCTTGGGTGCTATAAGAAATGCCTATAGCATTAGACCCTGATTTTGAAATAGAAATGTAAATAAAAATTCATCCAATAGATAGATATCTTCTTAAATCGCTACATTCATTTACCTTGCAAACCTATAATAAATTTTCTTACACCGCAAATTATGAGAGCCAACTTTTGCCTCGTCATTGAAAATTTCGAATTGACATCAGTAGATAGTCGCAGCAGAATTAAATATAGCAAATTACGATATTTTATTTTGAAATCCTAGATATAGTTGTAGATAGACAACCCAAATTGATATTAAAGTTAGCTAGTGTAGATGATTATCCATGTATATGTTGCAATATGACAGATTATAATGTAGTACCAATTGATCATTAATAACTCATAATGGATAAAATTGATATAGATTCAAATATAAAGCAAGAGGACAAAACAGCGCGCAAAGTATCACGAGCAACGCTTCTACTAGTAATTATAGGAGGAAATCGCACATCCAAAATAATATACATCAGCGCAAACATAAACTACGTACTTTATGCATGCGAATAGATATATATGTACATGTATTATATATACATATGTTAAAAAGTAACAGGCGAGTGAGTACAAATGGAAACCAATTGAAACCATGCATGATTAATTTGATCGTTAGATATGTAATTAAATAAATAATTATTAAATTCCAGAATGTGTCTTGTCATTTATAGAGAAATGGATATTAATTGCGGTCTCTACCATTGCATTAAATAGTCTTTGGACTGAAAATTAAAAAATCAACATCAAAATATTAATTTCGACATGATAGTTTATTCGCTACGAGCTAAAATTACGTTACGCTATATTGTCCTATCTTGCTTCACATGTGTCTAAAGCCACTATTGGTTATAACTGTTAAAAGCATTGCATAGGCATGCTATCTGATAATACATGATCTAAATTATTAATAACATATTTCCATTTCAAATCTAACCACAAAATTACAAGCTTTAATTGCTATTGAGAAAGTATTATTTATTATATTGTATAACTGTAGCACAGGCAGCTTCTAATAATTGATCATAGTATTTACTCATTACTGTATGACCAACATCGCTAAGGCAACTACCGTATAATTTAATTTCAAAAACATTCTAACATTCTATATACAACGCTCACAGTAAATTTTCTATTCACTGGACTTCCAGTAACACTTTCACCAGTTCCTGGTCTTACTGGTTGCTGATTTGATTTATTAATGCTAACGCCAGCGCCCTTACAATAAAAGTCCAAATAAAGTTATTAGTGAACACCCTTTGAAAATATAACTTTGATATATTTTTTAACAGGCGTACATACGGTAGATTTGCATTGGGGAATTAAAATATGATTGAATAACACTTTCGTAGTGGAGTCTCTAATACTTGGCAAGAAAAGCTATCCACTTGCCATATAATCATACTACATCTTTTAACGGTACTAAAAATGGAAATACTTGATTATATAATCTTTGCTTAAATATAATCTCTTAAAACTTTATAGCAAGCCAATATAGAACTAAACAGTGCAATCTAAATTATAATCGTCCATCGATCAAAAGTTTCGAATATCTATGATTTCAATTCCTGCAACTTTTGCACGCTATAGTATGATTGTGCATTATTTACATATGTATATGTGAAAAACTCCTAAACTGTACTATAACCAAAAATACAGGCTAACTTAACCTACTCTATCTATAAATGCAATCTTATCTCGGAAAGATCGAAGTACATGCAGTAATCCCTTAACTGACAGAAACAGAAAAGCAACAACAGTAATTAGGTGAATCACTGCTATAATATGATACAACCAGAATAGTTTCCATTGACTATCGTACTAAAACCATATTCTAGCACGACGTGATCGCCAATTTATGTACATTTTATTCGATTTATATAATATGCAGTCGTTAAGGAGCATTGGATATACCTACGGTACCACATCCCCTAAGCCTAATCACCACTATCTTATAAATAAGACTCTAGGCACATAATCAAAGTGTAAGACGATATTGTACTAAGAGGGTTGGAACATGATGAAGATGTACTAATTCTTTCTTTGGGGACCAAGAAAAGGATACACCGTAGTTTATTGAAATAGCTCCCATCAAACTTTTTACACGTTGCATGACTAATTGATTACTTAAAACTCTGTTAATCTGTAGCGTAGAATAATTATTATGTTGCAATTTAAAAATCTTACGATAGATAGATTGCAATTTGTAAACGTCCAAGATAATGATAAAAGCTTGGATTTATAAAAAAAGCCCCTTACTTTAATGAAGGACATCATTATCATGACTTACTTGTTTTTCCTTTATATAGGCTCTTATTTCCGCTGTCCGTTGGCGTCTCAGTGCTTCTTTATGCAAAGCCTCCATTATTAATTATATAATCTTAACTTATTGCTAAGATTAGGAAAGAATCACGTCAAACACCGGTTTATAAGTTGGTGATTTTAATTTGCTCCAACGATGTAATTATATATTAATAATTGGCGTAGGCAATAACGTGAATAAGCTTATTCATAATCTACTTAGCAACAAGTGCTTTGACGTATGGGCAGTCTAGACATGGATACCATAGTAACGTAACCCTGTGCTTATATAGATCTATGCGATCATTTATAGAACTTTTCATTGATTAATACTGCTGTACTGGCCACTACTAACATAATAGTAATGTATAGGGCCTAGAATGCTGTAGCATGCATATAATAATCAAAAATCCAATGCACATAACCTAAATTATGGTACACATGGGTTTAACCAGGAAGAATTATAGCCAGATTGGTTAGGAGTGTTATGATTACCTCTTTCAATAGCAACTAGTAATTTTAAGAGCGATGGTAGTATTTTCACTCTCACTATCACGATTCCGTCGATAATAAGCATTACTCAGAAGTTTTCGATAGCATCTAATGATGCTTTCTATCTAGTTCATTCTATTCTATTAATTATCAGAGATTGCAACAGGATGCAATCGAATCGTTACTAAAACAGGCCTAATACTTTAATCTTGCATAGGTAACAAGATAACTCTTTGTATCATATGTTTGAGTAGGTACATCGATCATGGAGAACTATAATATGAATCATTAGTTGATATAGAGGCAGCCAACACTAAATGGCGTTAATAACTGCTAAAAGTTTGTAATGATATGCCGTAATGCTTTTATAAGTTGTGGAATCCCATTGCAGATTAATAATAACTACTACTTGTCACGTATATTCCTTTATCAAGAGTATCATTTAAAGCATGACTTGAATATGAATCAGCACTGAAATGCAGCTAGGACGCAAAGTATTGCATACCCATGAAGAAGCATTTATAGGATTGGTTGACCCTTACATTTGCATGCTTATGAAAACGACTTCTTCGTTCGCTGAGATGTATCATAAATGGATTAGAAGACAGATTATATCATGATATTTTATGCAGCATATCAATCAAACCGGTATCAAAATGATATCATTGAGTAGTTTTATGATGAGAGTAGCCAATAAGAAAACTGTCAAACTAATAAATATAGAACCACCTTATCAGCAATAGCTAAATTATAACTTTAAGTATTACAGAAGAAAGTACTCGGTACATGGTTATTTACGAGTATATAGTCCTAATTTAAACAGTATATTGCAGTAATTTAGTATCGAAAAATGCTACTACCGAAGAAAATTTTATACTCCTAATTCGCCGTAACATTTTTTTATTAAAAATTTGCTCCATTACGTGAGCAATGATTAGAGAATCTATATGATATGTTCCATTTATATAATTCACTATTCAAAGCTATTCAAATTGGAGTTATAACATCATCTACTATTTGAAGTAGAAGCTAGAAGAGAACAAGAGATATCTTTAAAATGACATTTTATATAGCCATCACTAGATTTATAGTATGCCATATAAGCATATCTTTAATGTAGCGTGAAGATTATACATAATTATATGTAATTCTTATCGATTCAGTTAGAATTTTAATATAAGCAGACTTTAAAATACAAATCGGTAAAGAACGAATGCGCTTATATAGTGAATGAATGTATATAAAACAATAACATCTAACAACTGTACATGATGAACTTGTATGTATTGTTCAAGTTTCCATAGCAACAGGCAAGGATGCTAGCTTAAGTTTAACACTTGAACACCATATACTGTGGCATAGATGGGCTTAAGTTAACTTTGGCCTAATTTCTATTGAGTTATCTTATAGATTTGAATTTAATTTAAACTCCAACCATTCCATCTTCAAGAAGTGAAGGTAAATTAATAATAGAAGTCGTGATCGCTTCAGTTACAGGATAAGACTCTGCTGATACTTCTCTACTGAATTCAATCAATTAGGTAAGATGGCAAAACATTCTACCATAATTTACAATATAATAATCAAATATGGCTGATAATATAATGTAAAATTAGATTTATAATTTGATATAATATACACAACGCTCATGAGAGTCGTGGCGCCGCATTTGATGAAGGATAGTAATATCTTTGCTTATAACAACAACTATCTTATTCTCGCCATTTTAAGATGTTTATAAGGCTACAATTTTATTTGATGTTATAGCAATCGTACCCATGGGCAATCATCAGTCAAAGCATTTTATAAGAGCTAACTTATCGTTTCTTTAATTGATTCTCTTGTAAAGTAACTAGCTTGCAATCAGTTTTACCATTGAGGATTTCCGTATAGCTTTTCCATCGTCTAGTGAAATAGTAACATAGAAGTGCAGAGATCGGTTATAACAAGATAGCGATATCTTGAAATATCTAGCTAAAGAGCTAAAAATGAAACTGTACTATTCCTATTAGTGTTGTCAACTTCCATTTGATTAATGATGGCAGTGGCTACGGAGTCAGGACATATTGCCAGCTTTTTTGGCATCGAAGCTCCAAAGCAAATTCTGTGGAAAGGATGGGAACCTGGTGGCGAATATACTAAACAGTTAGTGATTAAGAACAGCAACGTGAAAACCCAGAAATTGCAATTTCTGTAAGTTGTAATTTGCATAAAGAGCGTCCATAAAATGATATCGATAAGAATGTAGAAATTGATATGATGAATTTCTTACCAATTAAATTAGTGTCGACAATTTATAAGTACAGTACTACATGTTGTTTGTAGCAAGATGAAATATGATTAAAAATTGTCCATGTACGGTATAACAGCAACAAGAAATTTATTCTTACTTATCATAGAGTACCAACGACTCGATATTTCACAACTTTATATCCTAAAGTCATAACACTAAGCGCAGGAACAAGCTTTACCTTACCTATTACGTTTCGTCCGTTAGAAAAGGTAAATAACTCTAAGTACTATTGATTAACAGTCATCAACAATCGCCAAGTTACTAATTTATATTTCTTACGACGATATTAAAATCATAGAATACCTATGAAGATCAGATCGAATTTCAATCCAAGGTTAACAAAATTATAATAACAGTAGTTATGGAAAGCTTATAAATCTTCAACTGACATCATTTAATTTGTTACAATAATTAGGAGTATCGTTTCAAGATTGCTGTGAAAGCAATCGTGATTGAGCCCGTCTTAATCGCTCCTAAATCGCAAAATTTTAGCATGTGTGCTGTTAATGACGCCCGAGAAACAACATTTGAATTAAAGAATACAAGGTAAAATGTGATAGAAAAAACATTTACTCTAATTTAAAGATGATTAAGCTTGCAGTATTGTAATCCTCCCTACCATAGCGATCTCAAGACAACATTTCATTGGGATATTAGTGGACCATTTACTCTTGAGCCAGCCCAAGGTATTTTAGAGCCGAAAACGTCATGTACTATGCATGCTGCATTTCATCCAAAGGTTAGTTAAAATACTTCTATTTTTGTAGTTATCTCAGACCGGTTAAAAATTGAATTATCATTAATACGGATGATATGATTCCATTCGATTAGAGTGCTCATTGCTACAATGCAACTGCAGTTTGCAAATATGGTCCTGATTTTGTAAAGTCACGTCTGGTGGAATTTGAAGGAATTGGTGAGTTCTAAAATAAACCGACATACGAATCAGAAATTTTTAGGTGTGCTACTCTATTAGTTTTAGATATTTCAGGCTAATGATATCTGCTTTAATAGGAAAATACCCACATATTGTCGTAAATGGCCCACCTGGCTCGTTGCGTTCTGATAATGAGAATGAAATTATTGTCAATTTTGGTGATGTCCCTGTTGGTACAAAGCAGGAAAAATGGATCGAATTACGAAACTTATCATCCGTAAGTAATTTACTAAGTAACTACTATACACAGTATCGGCCTTCACTACAGGTTTATAATGAACATTTATATACATTAAACTTACAGGTTCCAGCCCCATACCATATTATGCAACCATCAAAAGGTGATGAAATTGAGATTTATTACACTTGCGAAAAGGTTGGAGGCGTTATTCCACCTGATGGTGTTGAGAAGATTCAGGTAAATTATCAGTTTCTTTGCTTTAGTAATCAGTTTAAGCTACATTTTTATTTGTTGCCTATATGAGCATACTAACTAGAAATTGGTTTAAATTTAGCTTGTCTACTATCCTAAAACCGTTAAGGAAAGAAATATCGATTATTTTAGCATCTCAGTTATAAGCAGCAGGGCTACGGCAAATGTGGTTAAATGTGAAGGCAATGCAATCGGTTGGTGATTATTTCTATGCATAATCTTTAGTCTCCAGTTATCTTGACTCTATTGAGTGTTTTCATTATGATAATTAACCAAAATTGAATCTTCTAGGATCAAAAATTGAAATTGATAATACGTTAGTAAGCTTTGGTAGTACCTGCGTTGATCAAGAAGTAACACGCGTTATAACTTTAATCAATCATTCCAATGTGCATGGATATTATCAGGTAAATCTTATAAAAATAGCATAGCATTACTTTAATAATACAGATCTTAGATGTGATTCTTTTTAATTTAATGCATGCATAACTAACTATAAGTGAACTGGTATATATGATTTTGCTACAGTTTCGCATCGATGATAGCAATAGCGTATTTAAATTTAGCAAGACTTGTGGCCAGCTACCACCTAATCATTCCGAAGCTATCAAAATTGTCTTTAAGCCGGCGCTGACAATCAGCTACTATAGGAAAGTCTTTCTAGTGGTCCATAACCAAGTAATGAATGATAGAAAGATAGAATTTTGCTATTTTTTTTCACTATAACTTTATTTGCCAAGAATTATACAATATTTGATTACGCTTATTATTAAATTTATCAAATTTAGGAAACGAGAGCAATCGAGCTATTTGGTAGTAGCTTTACGGAGCAGGAAAGACCAGGTCAGTTTCATATCTGAAATTTTATATCATCTTTTCGTCCTTTCGTTATAATATTAGAGTATTTAATTACTTAAAAATTCCTTCATTATACGTTAGCCGTGATACATGCAAAACATGTACACAGATTCAGAAAGCTTGAAGAGAGAGGCCTTACTATCTTCCCGCCAGAGGTAACATAAACCCTCAATTTTTTTAATTGTATCAAGGCCAAAGCATTTTGATTTTAATAGGATAACAACAAGATTTTCCAATGTCTTGCTACTTTATCAATTAGTTTTTAAGCGAAATGCTAAAAGAAGGCAAAGTAAGCTTGGATAGTGAAGGTGCTATTATGGTAAAGGAAGCCGAAGCATTTGAGCCTTATTTACGACCCTATATTCCATTGACAACGCAAGAAGAATATTTTGATCTAGCGGATAATGTTGAAAAGGTATTTCAAACTTTATTAGGATAGATCAGTCTCCTATGATAGATGGCCTAGTTTTATATTTTTATTTATACCAAAAACTTTCAGATTGTATCTCCACATGTAAGCCTCGATCAGCAACAAGTCAATTTTGGATCATGTCCAAATATAAAATCATTCGAGCAAAGGGTCAGTTATCCTTTGATTTAATCTTGCATCTATACCCTTCACAAATATTATAGTACAAATTAATAAAGATCTAAATCGATTGTTTATTTACATTATGACAGAATATTACGATTGCAAATCATACAAGAGGGAAAATTTGTTGCTGCTGGATCACTAGTAAGATATTATGCATGCATTATTTGTCTGTTCTAACCTGGTTTATAAAACCTAAATCTAGTTCTAAATAATAAATCGGCCATAATTTGTCCAATCTCTTTGATAGATATTCAGAATGTCTTTTCGATCACTCCTGATGTAACCACCATCCAACCATTAAAATCTGCTTCTTTCGTTGTCACTTTTAAACCGGTAAAATAAATAATCTTTAGTAACTATTGTATATCAATCAACTTTTAATAAGATCGCTAAAGGTAAATGCTATGATATAAGAAAGCAGTAACAAAATTATTTCTGCTTTCTGTATCCATTTGGATAATTTAGAACTCCCCTAATCAGTTTTATGAAGCTGAATTAGAATGCTATGCTGGCTACAAGGTAAGAAAATATTTACTAGAATGATGGCAAAGCAGTATCTGCAAAACTAGTTGAATAAATAATCGTAATTATCGAAATACATTTCTTGCAGAGTATGAGAGAATATCGATTAGTCACCGATCATACTATCATGCCACCTTGGTGTTTGACAGTAACACTTTCAGGTAATGAATATTATAGACGTAAATTAATATCAGCCTTAAATATCTTTGACTTATTTTAAATATCGATTATCGAATTAGGTCATACATTCAGATCTACAGTCGATACCTATTTACCAAGATACAAATTTGAAAATCATGAATTGGTAACAAGAATTAAATAGTGGAATATTATTTTGATTTCTAAATAACAAAAACTGCAAGTCAGGATATCAAGATAAATAATAAATTCACTTCTCATGATTATTTCGCAATGTAGATTTTTCCGACCGTCAGTGCGAATGAAGAATCTTATCGAACTTTACTATTAAGTAATGCTGGTTCTAATCCAATCGATTATGAATTTCTTGAAGAGCAATTAGGGTATTGCAAGTTCTTAATTTATTTTATTATCATTTTAAATACTAGACATTTTATCTTTATTGTAACATTAAATAAAATATTTTATATGTACTATGATCTAGATTAACTACCATTATCCCAAGGAAAGGACTATTGCAGAAAGAATATCAGGTAGTTCAATGAGTCACGCTTACTTAGAAATTTTAATCATGATACACTCGTTTATATTACGTCCAGATATTAACGATTATACATGATTCTGTTTAGATTTTATCTCTAAAATTAAGACCTGAAGAAAATAAGATTTATAAGTCGACAATCAAGTGTAAATTTAATGAATCAGAGAAGCATATTCAAGTAAACTCGAATTACCGCATTTCATAGTGATTTAAAAAATGTAAGATTCTAAATGCAAAATTTTTCAAATCTTCTAGAATTTGAAAGTGATTTGCGCTGCTGAAGTACCAAGAATCTATTTGGATAATGATGTACGGCAAAATAACAATTGATTGTGCTCAAAAATTCTCACGCAGAGTGATTTAGTCATTATTATCACATTCATACTATTTAGGGTGCGCTATACTTTAAGCCAACCGGATTAGGAACGGCATCAACTCGAAATTATGCTATTAAAAATGTAACCAAATTACCAATCAGGTATGCTAACCCATTAATTTACCGTTGTCAATATCTACAGATATGAGCAATATAATATCAGAGTAACGTAAAACCTTGATTCTTTCTAGATATCAATGGCGTATTCATATATCCGATCAAGAAATAGTTCAAGTTCAACCTTCAACAGGCATTATATATCCTAATGAAGTCCAGGTATGATTAAAAAAAATTTTTAAATTCAATTCTTAAGAAAAGTTTCTATGCTGGTATCATCAACGCTACTGCTTCTTGGGTTTACTTTAATTAAGCTAATACCTAACCTAGTCTCTTTCAACGGGAAAAATAGGAAGTAGTAATCTTATCTAGTTTCATATATTATTATCTAATTATCTTATGTCTATTCCCTTACAATGCTTGCCGTATCAACCAATTATTCTATCTAGTTTCATACATAGCTAACAATCTTATCTAATTGCATGGAATAGAATCACAAGTGGACGTTTGTTCCAAAATCGGAAGTCAAATACATGATAAAAGCATATTTAAAAGCGCATTTTGAAAAAGATTCTCATCTGGAAAGGTAGGAAACTTATATATAAATTAAATTTTATTTTCGTGAATTGAATAATAAATGTAATTTTGGTATCTCAATGCGTGGCTAATTCATTTTCATAGCTCCCAAATTCAAAAATCATCATTTTTCGTTCGTATCATTGGCGAAGGTTCTGTTGGAGACATAGAAGTAAGTTACTATTGCCAAATTGTTTCTCCTTTTAGTAAAAACGCCTCTACCGATGATGATCAAGGTAAAATATTAATGAAAGACTGTTTTATTACAATTCAGGCTGATCCAACTGAATTTGATTTCGGCAATGTTGTCGTTGGCTCTGCAGCTAGTCAAAATATTACTATTAGTAATAGCAGTAAATGCAACTTACTCTATCAATTGAGCTTAGAACAATCGATATCTGGACCTTATGATCAAAATTATCCTTCTAATGATGATATAAGTATGGCCTTTGCCTACTAAATTGTTCTCTACCTGCTATAAACTTGTTTTATTTATTCATTTTATTACCTCTATTATTCTGATTAGTCTTGGATGTAGACAAGATGGAAGGTGTCATCCCTGCCCGTTCTATGCTGAACATTACTGCCACAGTTAGGCCAAAGCAGAGATTTCAGTATCAATTAATCATCCGTTATAAGCTATTAACTCCAACTTGTAAGCTACCTTTGTATTCAATTCAGACTTTTCTTCACTAAACTGAAATCCTTTAAGAATCGTGATAAATAACATCTCTGATTTTACTTATTTTATTTTCTGACTAGCGGATGGCATGAATCAAACTATTGAATGTTCAAATCCAATATTATGCCAATTGAAGGTGATAGGAATTTATCCTACGGTCAAAATTGTCGATGCTCGTTGCAGTAGCACATCGAATATAAGTAAAGTTGGGCTCTGGAAATTATTCAACTTGGACAGGTAAGAATCATTTGATTTTTAACCGCTTTTCATATTTAAGGTTCCTATTTAAACATGATATTGGGCAGCAACAAGCTCTGAGACCATAGCTACCCCATAAATTCACGATCTATTTTATCATTTAACTATCAGCTTCAACATGACAATGTCTTCCGATCCTTCTCCAGCAGAAACAATGTATTCAGTAGTCACCAGGCACAGGTAAAAACAGTTTCTACTCCGTCAATGTAATGCTGGATTCATGGTTAATTATTTGGCTAACACGATTAATTTCAACTATTTTCTAGCACTAGACGACGACCACCCATTAATACTAAAGCGGTATTAGATTTTAATTTTGGTTCAGCTCCAGTCGATAGTCCACCGGGTACGGCCTATCTTATGCTTAAGAATACAGGACCAGTTCCTACAGATTGGTAAGGATTTTAACAAGATAATTTTACAATCTATATCAAGCTTTTTTATATTGAAATAGGCTGAGATAATCTGTACTATCACTTTACTTTCATATCGAATACCATATCTACTTCAATTTTAAAATTCAATTTTAATTTCATTGATTTTTAATTATTTAAACCTCGAAACGACAGCAGAAACTAGTTCAGAATCAATAGCTGAATCAATTTTACTATATTTCATTCTAGGGCCTTCTTATTTCCAACCGATTTCCAATTAGACCTTGAATTTTGGGCAGAAAATGGCGACTATTCGCGAGATGAACTATATGATGTTAGCATACCCATTCTTGCGTTTCAATCTAGTATCAAAGAGTGCTCTAAGTCAATTTGATACTAATCTTTCTCACTACTTACTAGATGCATGTGATGGATAACAAATTATTTACCATAACACCAAGTAAAGGTAACCTGCAGCCTGACGAAACTCAAGTGGTCACATTTTCCTACCGGTAGGTTATTTCTAGATTTAATCAATCTTAGGTCGTGATTCATAGGTACCTAGATTGTTATTTACAATGTCTAACTACCACAAAAATAGTTAATCATCTTATATTTTGATATTTAGCCATATTATGCCTAACACTGACCGCTTACCAGTCATTTTCAAAGTTAGCAAAGGCAGAGAAGTCTTGGTAAGTAATGATTAATTATGGGATATGGAATTGCTGGCTGCTAATCCTGGTGTTGGTAGATTGATCACAGATTTTAATCGATTTTTATTTTCATTGCTAGATTAATTTTGTTGGGGTTACCGTGGAAGCTTCAGCAAAATACGTTCATTTTCCAAGCAACAGCCATCAGTTTATGGCCATGCCAATTGGTAGTATAACATATCCAAAGCAGGTAAGATAACTTCAGTAGGCGCTATTCTATGCTCCAAAATAATCTAAAGAAGAGTTCTTGGTAAAAGTAAATCATAATTCATTACTATATTATAGGTTTATGAGCTATATAATGGTGGAGGACAAACTGTGAATTACGAGCTAGATTTGTCTCCCTGTGATAACTTAAAAATGGTAAGTTTTGGTGTTAGACTAGTGTATTGGTTCTGGTTGCATTCGGCGAGGATAGAGTGAGATAATTAAAGTCTTTTGAAAATGTTCAACTAGAACTATACTTTCTGTTTATTCAAGCTCCCTTAGCTTATCGAGCCCCCTAAAATACTATACTGAATGTTAATTCTTATGATCTCGTTATGTTAGGACAATTATCATTGCAACATCTTTCAATGTCTAAATCCTACTGGTCAAATTGCTCCCGGGCAACGTGCTCAAATAGAATGGGTATTTTCACCAATTGAGGCCAAGACATATAGTGTAAGTTCTTTACTATCAAAAACCTTATAAAAAACATTAATAGTCACGATATTCACTTTTTTGCCTGTTAGCAGTATACCTGCTAGCTAATCTTGTTTAATGGAATATCTTCATAGCTGTGGCAGTAATAAATTAGTTTCCCCTTAATTTATTTGCAAAAAAAAGATCGACGCAGCTGCCAGTTTCTCTTGCTTACTAATTATAGTAGCCACTAAATCTTCATTAGTAGAATACTTTCATTAACTAGTTATAGATCAAAGCTGTTTAATGAATTGCAAATAGATCTCAATAATTGCCATCGCTATACTAATTGTGATAATAAACTGTTCCAAGTTTCACAAACCTCTTGAACATTTACAGGTCGATGTTCCTGTTCATATTCTTGGAGTGGAAACCCATTTAGTCACATTTTATGGCGTAGGATATGATCAACGATTTATGGGTGATTCTATGCCATTTACTGATCAAAGCCATCTTACTAGTGTTCCTCCAATTCAGTTAGTGGACATTCCGGACCAGGTATAAATGAGACAAATTGTGATAACTGATCATATGAAGCTAAGCCTAACAATTAGATAACCTCTTTTACTCATTAGCAATGCTTGATATTGGCCGCCACTATTACATCCAATTGTTACATTTGAACAAATGTGATCCTAAATCTCTAATATTCATTTATAATCTTGATAACGTGTTATCTAGCTCGCTTATTTATCTCAAGAGAGGATTTCATTCGGCAATTTACCGCTATACTCCAATGAAAGAAGGATCCTATTTTTAATTAATAAATCAAAGCATGTTGTATCCTATAATTGGAAACTTCCAACTAAAACCAGCCATCAGACTATCACTATTAATCCACCTCGAGGTCGTCTAGCAGCTGAAGAATCTATTTTAGTCAAGGTAAAATGAGTACTTTCGTCATTGACTTCTTTTAATAGATTCAAATAATATCCAAAACATGATTAAAGTCATTAGAATGAAATATTACAAAGTTACTCAATCTATCCTGCGGTTATATTACAGGTTGATTTCTCTTCCTATACGGTTCCTTCATTTTTCGAAATTGATATTCCTTGTGAGGTAATAAGCTATGAGTAATTCATGATTTCAAAAGTACAATTTTATTCAATGACCTATTCTATGCTATTACAGATCATTGATGAAACTGAGATGGCAATCTATCAGAAAAAATTAAAATTATGGGAAACCAAGGAAGAAGAAAGAAAGCATACGTTTACTATTACAGAAAACAATCTCCAGGAAGAAGGAAATGGAGAAAATGAAGAGCACATGAATGCCACTGAATCCCAGGTTATCACTTTAACAATAAAATAGTGAGATCTTATATTGCGTAATAGCGCTGATTACCCTCAAAAGTGAGCATTTTGAGTAAAAGAGCATCTTTACTCTGTTGATACTAAAGTAAATTTGACATTTTACAGAATAAAATGCAGACGAGTAATGCTGCTGAACGTATCGCCAAAAAATATCAGGTATGATAGCCCTCTATGCCATATACTCAAATTACTTGATCAAATCTACCAGTAAATTTCATTATTTAAAGATTCTGCTTTAATTTCTAGGCTTTACCCCCTATTAAACCATTCTTGCAATCAGATACCAGGATTATGGAGAAGAAAGGCCGCAGTAGACAAAAGGTATATATGAATATTGTACTCGATCTATAATAACAAGTATCTTTTCTGGAATATGTGTTAAAACCCAATTTCAAATAGATTCTTTTCAAAGATTCAAAATTTCATTTATTTAATCTTCTACCTGCTTTGATACGATTACGTACAAATTAGACTACGAAAACCGATAGTCATGATCCACCCAAAATTCCTCAACCATTTATTCTATATCTTGGCTTAAATGCTCGAACTCATTCATTAAAGGATTATCAAGCCAATTTTCCCGGCAAAATCACCAATTTTCATATGGATAGGTAAGCAAGATAAATTCAAGCAACAAAATGAATTTAAAGACGTATAAAGCTATTATTGCAGTATGGTAACTTTCCTTATAATATTTGTAGAAGTATAGCTGGAAATTATCAGAAATATTTATTGGATAGATCATCAGCTGTAGATGAAGAAAACACTTGGACTACTTGCTTACTAGAGGAAAGAGATATCGTAGCTAATGCTATCTCAGATATGGTGAAGTAAGTTCAATCATTTATTAGTAGAATACTTACAGTAATAGAGTCGAGTAATGGCTTAAAGATTGCAAAATAGAATATTATATAAGTTTATTCTAATAAAAAAATCAAGATATTGGTTGCTATTGCCAAATAAAAATAGGTTTGCGTACTCATTTATTTTCAATTTGCTTGCAATATAGGAATCTTATACGTGATCATGATTTTATCGATGTCATTTCCAATCTCTATACTGAGCCTGTCCCGTATTTTAAACAACTGGGCCATATTCAGACAAGTAGCGTTATGGATGACCGTACAGATGATGGCCAAATTGATGCCGTTGGCGATAATCCAATAACTAATCAATCCGATGAGAATAATCCTACCTCAACGGTAGATCAAAAATCTCCAACTCCCTCAACGGTTTGTATTTATCGTTTTAAATTTCTTAAATTACGATTTATATTAATTTCACACAGTAATGATATGTTTTGCATAATGCAATATTGCTAATTTCTTTCATGAAAAAACGTTATTGATTAATTTATAGGAAGAGTACCAGAGCTTAAATAGAGATGAAGAAGTAGCAAATAATCTAATTGATGATAATAAAAAATCCATAATAGAGATTGCGACCGAAGACTGCATTACCGATGAAAGTATTGCTAGGTAATTAAATAAGTCTGTACGTATGAATGTTTGCATTAGGCTAAAAAAATTTAACTAGCAACATAGATTAAATTTGATATTTAGTATATATGTACGTTGTTGCGTATAGATTCTTCCGATAATTCAGCTAGCTTATTCTTTACGCTTATTCTAATTGACCAGTAACAGATAATAATAATCTTCTACAGTAAGAGTATATTTAATTGTAAATGGTATTATAAATGTTTGTATTTTTCTGCATAGTTTATCAGTACATTTAGATTATCATCTTTAAAGAATATATTATTTTGCTTCTATTTTCTAAGTTCTAGATTTTACAACGTAATGATTATCAGGATTAATTCTAAATTTGAAACATTTCAAAAATATTTTATATTATAGAATACCAGAAGTATCAAATTTAATTGAATCGATCTTGGAAAACACAGTCTTAAATATCTTAACCGAAGCTAGTATTAGTGAAATTAGTTTAACAAATAGACCAAGAGTGATAGCTTTACCACCTCATGCTAAACATTAACGAGCGTTATTACTCTTATTATCATGCGAAGCTGTTAAAATTTAAATTAAATCAATTTTATTGATTCAAATATGACTCATTAATACTCATTGCATATAGATATTTGCAGGTGTGATTCTTTATACTTAATGTATATTTAATTGAATACAACAAGGATATAGTAATTTCTACATATTCTACATCGCTACATGGCTTGCTTTTATTGTATAATGTACATAATTTTGTCTAGCAAATTCATTTCATTTTTTGCACACTTTACACTTTTATAAATTATACTTTGGCTTTATGGCGCCCAGCATCGGTATATTCCAACGTAAAGATACGATCAATTTAATTAAATAGAATTGAACTGTTTTCTATTTTTGGTAAATCGAATTTGGCTTATACTTATTGTAATTATAACTGTGCTTAATTATTATAACGATCATGAATAAAGTTGATGGCTTGTGTAGAGTTAAGGCTACATATGACATTCTAAGTAATGATTAAGTTTTGAGTAATTTCTCATATTTACAAAGAGTATCGTCATACTTGCCCTGATTTACAAGCACAGCGCCCATGCTGTTCAATATTGCAACAGGAGCGGAATGATGGTAACCATAAGTAAATATTTTGATGTTTGAGCGATTGCTTATCGATAGACATTGCTTCATCACACCTCTCCAAATTCCTATAGATAGTTCCTATACTGTTATAGGTTTGGTCAAGATCAGCATGATGATGACCAAGATGTAGTAATCGAATTGTCAGCGATTTCTTATCCATAAAAAGTGCCTCTTCATACCTGCCCTGATAACCGTTTACCTCCCTCACGTAGTCATGGGATTTCGCAATATCAATGCTATTAGCATCGAGATCTAACCTTTGAATTTAAGCGTTTTCTCATTCATAGAAATAGCATCATTATGTTTGCTTTGAGAAAGATAGATCGAACCAATATAATTATAAGAATTGGCAATATTAACATGATTGAGGCCGAAAACTGATTGCTGTATTTTGATCGACTTTTTAAGCATCAAAACAGTTTCTTCGTAGCTGTTCTCAAGAAAATAAGTCTGTGAAAGGCTGCCATATAATTTCGCGGTGCTGGTTGGATGACAACGAAGATTCGAGAGCTGGACTTTGAGTAATTTTTTATGCATTAACATAGCCTCTTTATGCTTTCTCTGAGGATTATAAATATTTCCCATGTTAATATAGGATATAGCAACATTGAGATATTAATGATTACGGATATTTAGATATATTTTCAGTGATTTTTCATACATAGAAATAGCTTCATCGTACCTACATTGTTCCGTATGGACAAGCCCTAAGTTGTTATAGAACTCTGCAACATCGAGATGTTTAATTATAATCGATGAGTTTTGCAGAACCCTAGTGATCTGTATTTCGTGTTAATACTATAATTAGCAATAATCACTACATTGGTATAATGACATTCCGTGCTCAATTTTGATGCCTTACTCTATGCTTCACATTTACCTTAGATGCTCTCTAAGTAAACACAGCTCTAGGCTTGCTTGGATGTCAATAATAGTCATGAATGAACAGGTAAGGCTGTAGACTGCCTGACAAATTTAGATATTCTTAAAACTGAAAAAGCAACTGTATTGGCTATATTAGTTGCTACCCAATGAGTAGGAACAGAATGTTGCGTTAGTGCTGTATGATTGACCAATAAATCAACAATTTTAAAATACTAAGTATGCAGTTTAGTTAATCACGTACAAACACTTATTCAGTATGTACCCGGTTATAACTGTTACACGTGATATATGCAATGTAAATAGGTACTACTACACTATTACATTTTCGTAGTATCGCATGCTCTTCTGCTTTTAAATAGAGTAACAAAATCTTCTTAAACGCTTAGTATAAATTCGTATATTTTAATCTTTCAAATGAATCTAATAATAATGAAATCGAGATAATTTAATTTACGAGCACTTAATTATAAAAATAGGGCAAATCTGGCATACCAAATGAGATCGCGATTACAATTACTAATCTTATAAATTTTAAACAGAGACGTAATTATATTAAATTACGATATTATTTTAATATATTAACATAAACCATCGAATTATGTTCATTCGTTTGTATGAGGTAAAATCTCCAAAAAATTAATGTTCATTTAAGCCATTAATTAACTAAAATATTAGAATAGCAATTTTTTGGAAATTCACATGAGTATACATACGGATCTGTATTGTTAAACGTTTTACAACTCTTTTTATATAAAACTTTCTTCACTTAAATCATAATACTTACTTTCATACTGTAAATACACTTACCATTATAGTGCATACTTATTAATTAATACATTGTATTACAATAAGCTAAATTCTTACAAAGCAAAACATTTGACATTTCGTGAAATTGTTACTATTAATCAAGCCTAATCTTACTTTAAAGAACGCATTTAGGGTGAGCTAGTGATATTATAATTCATACAATCATACAATAACTTACATGTAGACTAGTCAATTGGCTGAGTAAACGTTCGTAGGAGATAATTTTATCAGATTAAGCTATGAAATAAAATCGATATCTTCAATATCAATTACATATTCATAAGGTTTTAAGTTTTAAAGTATTGATTAAAATTTAGGCTACTTCGTCATTATGGAATTCACAATTTGTACTGTTTTATACCGATTAGCAATTTTAAATATTAAGCTTTTAGGTATAAATTATCATGCTGCTTCTCTTGCTCAGCCTTTTTAAAGGGACTTAAATACAGCATTCAAAACATCAAAATCGATAGAAGTCCCATCACTACTGACTGCTACTTCATCAGCTTGATCCATCGGCTTTCTATGAATAACAATGAATTATTCAGTGGTTACTGTTGATAGAAAATCTATCCATGACACGTAACGTAAATGTTCATTGAAGCATTTAGGTATTATTATAACCAAATTAATGCGTTATCAAAGAGTCAATTGCAAGCTTACTGGTAATCAGTACGTTCATCACGCAATTTTTTAATATTTTGCTTGGTCGCTGTTAGCGCCGTTAAATCGTCAGCCAAGAGACCATTTTCATTCTGAATGTTGACGTCTAACTCTCGAAAGTTCTATTTAGTAGAAAATTGTAGCTATGAGGAGGCACTGTATTAGGTATATAGTGATGTTGATGCCGAATTGATATCTACCGATATTATGATCAATACTACTACCAAAATTAAGGAAATAAACGCGGTAAAAATTTTTATCACTTTTCCCTTATCAAAAAACAATAATAGGCTGTACATGTTTCAGTTAGGCTTGCACATAGATGTTAAAGTAATACATGATTATTAATACATTATGTTACACAATCAGTAAAGTGTGGATTATCCATAAATTTATTCAACTTCTATATCAGTTAGCAGGAAGTCAAACTAGTAATTGGCTTACCAAGAGTGCTTTTATTATCATTTTCCGGCGTAATTGACAAGCCAAATGTAGAGCTGTATTTCCTGAATTTTCAGACATGTTTAAACATTCATTATTGGCGTTAATTAAGACTTTCACGATACCAACGTTACTGTCACTGCCTTGCACTGCACGATGTAAAGCTGTATAACCGTCTCGAGGATTAACAGCACAAACAAATTCGTTACTGGGCAATAATCGAACGTCAATATTTTGCCCTTCAATGTAGGATTCAGAGTCAGCGTTAGAGTCTTCCATTGACCAACGGCTAAAAGCACTATCATTACGTCTCAATGACAAACGGCGACGGATAGTTGCATCACTGATCTGCTCATAATTATTTGCGGCAGCTAGAGTCCTAGCGGTCTCTCCTTCAATACTGCTATCTGTCGCAGAACGAGATCTCGCAGGCCCTCCGCCAGTTTTTCCGTTATGTTGGAACTTAAGTTCTGGGCTTCTTCCTAAACTGGCTGGGGTATACGGGCCAACTGGTGTGCCTGGTGAACTTCGCTGTAAGAAAGAATAATTTGGCAATGTAAAATGTTAACGTATTACATCATTGCCTGATACCGAAAACCTACACAATCCAATATTTCGATTTAATTATAGAGCTAAGAAGGATGCCCTTACTTGGCCGTCGCTAGCTGGTGTAGTGCTACCGCTTTGAAAGTCCAGAAAGACAGCATTCTTGGTTTTAACAGTTGGTTCTAATAGAAAGTTGATGACGTCTAGTCTTCCACAATATGCAGCGTACATTAAGAAGGTGTCATCGTTTTCATCCCGTAGATTATAGTCAAATGGGATCTGCTCAGAAATCACATTCGAAAATATACAGTATATAAAACAGCGAATTGTCGTCAAAATGTTATAAAGAAAAAGTAAATAATCTAAATATTAGTTACCAGCCATTCAGAACGTAATTTGGTTAAACCAGATTTATCCTTGCAAAACCTTTTAAATCTAGCGATGAAATACGCATATGTATTAATTAAATTAGAAAATCCAAGGTAAAGTAATAAAAGTGAGAGATAAATTTACGTTGAACTATACTTGTGCATACATATTTGTAGAGAGTAGATAACATAACACACTTGCGCACCTAAATTTTTAATTAGTTGGCGTGCATTAAGTATTGACTTACAATTCCATTCTCTCTTTCCGGCTATTGTCAATCAAAACTTGCAACCCGTCAAATTCGCTACAGTATAGGTTTCCATTTACATCCAGTAGTGCCGTCGATGCGCCATTTTCAAGAAAGATCCTGAGAATTTCGCGATGGCCTATTTATGATTGACGAAATTGTCATCCAATCTCATTAGCCCTTTAAATTAGTCAGCAGTGTATGACAGTATCACAAGCCTAACCTTTATCAGCTGCTAGCTGTAGTGCGGTGAACCCAGTCGAATTTAGTGCATTGACATCAATAGGGGCTAGTTTACGTTTATTTTTGCCGGGGTTAATATATGGAATTAGAAATTCTACCAGTGTCTTATGACCTTCTTGTGCAGCGATATGTAAAAGGGTGTTGTCGCTGTTAGGTTCTTTACATCTAATATCCACGCCGTTCTAAAACCGCAAAATTAATATTATGCACTTATCGCAGAATCAGCACTAAATGTAGATATTAGGTAAAGACAATGATAGAGAATACTTGTATTAAATTTTTTGCTACCTCAATTAAAATTTTAACGATGCCTGTATAACCATTATGAGCAGCTATGAAAATCGGGTTTTCGTTAGAATTTACCTAAAAGGAAGTTCAATTTAATACGTCTAGTCACTTTTTTACGATAAGCAATAACACATTAAATAGACCCAAAAATTTTTATAGCGTATAGCATACATAATTGCTTAGGTTGTCTCCTTCTTCTAAGATAGAATACAGTCTATCGCAATCTCCATTTGTACAACAATCAAAGACCATAGGTTTTACAATTTCCCTTCGCCGTCTGTCCCGTGTTATAATTATCAACGTTGAAATAATACGGTGAGTTTTCCTTGTAAGACAAGAAATGGCAATGCTGAAAAAAGGATCCTACCTTAGTTGAGCATCAGTGATAATTAATCCTATCTTAGTAGATTGGCATAATTGTTGAGCTTTGGCTAAACCCTGCAGAAATGAAATGTACGTTAGCATAACCAGAAAGTACTACGGCTTCGGAACGTTGGGACATGGTGAATAAATTAACATAACGTGCTACAAGTTCTCCTTACCACTAATCTGTCGTTGCTACTTAAAATTAGCGAAACAATTTCCTCATGAGCATTATATGCGGCATGATGCAAAGGTAACCATCCACTAATATCGGCAATTCGAACTTGACAGTTTCTTCTGCGAATTAATTCGTCCTCATTACGTTTATAAAATAATATTATTTACTGCACAACATGTACGCATCATGGTATTATAAATACAAACTCTAATAGTAATTTTGTGACTTCCAAATTTCCATCCATGATAGCGAGTGATAGCGCAGTTCTTAAAAACTGGATACAAATAAATCTGAATCAGTGCTTTAGTGATGTATTTGCGTTTACATTTTCCAATACTTATAAGGTAATATTACGTAAGATCACTGTATAGCTCTGTAGAGTGAATGCAAAGATAATTATTTGCAAAGACTACTATTGTAGCATGTTATCAATTGCCGCTTTAAATTGTTTAGTGATTATTAATTTAAAAGTATTTAAATAGGAATACTATAGCCATTGGTATTACTAGACGATTAACTTTAGCTTATACAAAATTAGCAATATACATACTTCTTCTATCTCCTATATTTACGTACTACCATATGTCATGCTTTATGATGCACGTTAATTATCATTTGTCAAAATACTGCAATGAACTGGACTTGTTCACTATGCGACAATGACGTACAAAATTATAGGTTATTGGGTTGATTGTATCATACCTTCCCGTCCTGTGCATCAAGAGGACAATGCTTGTAGCGGGTTAATATTTCGATGCTTTGAAGACTAAGTAAATGTTAGACAATTAGGCATTTCTTTGAAAGATGGTTGAAACATAGTAATATGTTTCAATTTAAGCGAATATATTCGTAAGTATTTCTGTAACCACTTACCTATTTTGCTTTACTGCTACCATCAATAGAGTGCAATCATTCTCATCAGTTAAGCATAAATCTGATTGCCTAAGGTCTTCTTGACGAAGGCAATCCTATAATTAATATAATTCATAACATTTTTATAAAGATTTTCACTCGTTATCATCCAAATATGATATGCGAGTGAAGAAATTCGTTATAAAATATCATTCAAGGAAGTATACTTTAAATCGGCAAGTTTACAGTTTTTCTAGTCTACCTGCATAATTTTCTGGATTAAATTTTCGATACGGTTCGATCTTCCTGTCTGCAATAATGCATAACAGAGCCCATTTCGTTCGGCTACATCATCTGGTCTTCTTCCATTTTCATCTTCAACATTTACATCTGCGCCTCTCATGACTAAGAATCTAGTAAATAGAAGGATCAGTTAGCATTTATGACAATACCTAACTAAATTACACTTAATTATTCCTTTAATGTGGTCTAGAGTATAAATAGTAAGTAGCTAGAACTTTGCATAGATACATACCGTGCTGTATCGTAATCATTTCTAGCAGCAGCATAATGTAGAGGACTCCAGCCGATTCGAGAATTACAGGTATTTGGGCTTGCACCAAGTACACATATCAAGATCTAAATAAGGGAGAGCATAATGGTCAGTCAAATTGATATACTTTTGCAGTGATAATCAGTACGCAAACTAATGGAAACTGAATTTGTATTCACATTGACAACATAACAAAGGTTAGCAAGTAGTGAACTTTAAACTTCATAAGCTGGTAGTCTTTTTGAAGAAATTGAAAATAATGTATAAAATGATAATGATGATTATATGGTAGCAATAAATTGAAACAAATTGGAAAGATCATGTTTATCGCCGTTTTTCTTTCAATACACTAAGAGATAAGTATCTACTACTTTATGTAAAAGATTAATAGTCTAGATGAACTATGAAATGTAATCATGCTATCTTGTTACACGATTCCTTCTGATGTTAATTTGATATTCCTGTATTTAGGCTACTTACGTCGGCTAACATTGAATGGCTACATTTCGCAGCTACGCATAACGGTGTTAGGCCATTTTCGTTGGTCGCTTCAATAGAAGCATGATGCAGGTATACCAAAGCCATAATAAACGGTATATGACTAATTCCTAGAATAGATGTATTTGCTATGCTAAGGTAATAGCTTGGTAACAGATAAAAATAAATAAAATATGCTTCGTGCAAGATATGCTATATTACTCGGTAGTAACTTAAGGCTAAACAGCCATACGGAGTCAATACATGGTCAAGAATTGAAGATACTGATGTATTACAGTTTTAGAATTAGTTAGGCTTCTTTACTCTCGGATTTCACGGTTAAAGTCGATGTTAATTACTCGTATATTTAATTCATCAGATCATTCACTTCAATTATAGTTCAAAGTATATTGTACAGCATAAACTAATGCTTACCTTGAGTGACAGCCACGTGCAACATTAAATCGCCGTTTTCATCTTTTATCCGATTGACATCCAATTCAATTAACTGAAATAGTATACGAAGGAAAATAATGTTATGGATTCCAAGAGGCACAACACTGCATATTTCATATCCACATCGTGTCATGACAAGTACACCACTGCGTCAGTAATGGTTATTGCTTGTAAAAGATTCAATGTCGAGTTCTTGCAGCATATTGTATTATAGACTTACCTGCATTTTTAATAGGAATTCATCGTAGCAATTTGGATCACGTAGCCATTGGAATATTTCTTTTATTTCAGTATCAGTAGGTGAACGTAATTTATTTTTCTTACCGTTACGTTTCCTGTCTGTTACTATAGTTGATCCTTTAGAATCGATCGAGGCTATCTCTTCGGGTAATCGACCTTTTAAGAATAACAACATAATGATGCCAAATGTAATCCTATTTATGTAGATTACAGGTGATTTGATTGCTTTCGTCAATTTATAGTTATGAAAGTCTACTTTGTGTTGTATAGATTTGTCTAGATCGGATTGGTGTTTACCATAGGTGTATATCTACTCTATGTGCATGTCGATGAATAATATGATTCAGTTGATGTAGGCTCGCTATAGCTTCGATATCATGACAGGCAAGGCTTATGACTAAAACTAGTGTCCAGATTTTAGATGATAAATACTATGAATATATTTGTATCTCATCAAGTACTGTAGATACTGAAGCATCAATGATAAAACATGTATCGTAGTAAATCTAGATCAGGGTGTTGAATGTCATAGTTAACATCTATTAATACGAATGCCATTTTACCTAATTCATCTTTCATTCTCTTCATGGATGAATACTGCTTCGATAATTCCTTCATGACAGGAAGGTTTCCTGCTAAAGCAGCGACATGGAGCATAGTAAAGTTATAATTGCCAAAGATCTCTTGTTGATCATTTGGTAAGAATCCACGTTTCAACAAGCAGGAGATAACATCAAATGGGCCACAGCGCAAAGCAATTAAACAAAAATCCTTGAGTTCTGCATGTGTTATAGTTATATTTTCAAGAAAGTCTTGCAAAGTGGCACTATCTGGCCATAAGATAGAAAACTCGATCAAAGGATCACCATGTCTGTAAGTATTGGAGCATAGTCGTGATCGCCAGTAAAAATCGCAAATATTGATAGGAGTAACACTTTCAGTTTGACTGTCACAACTGTCTGCCATATTGTTGTTGGTTGTTACCACCGTATTGATCAGCCTATGATGGATTTGAAGAAACAATAATTGTTTACGAAAATGCAAAAGGATTCGACTCTAAATGCGTCAAAGTTGGTAAGATTAATTATTGAGTTAAGTACGCGTATAATGAAGTATACAAATATGGGTGTTATGCGTAGCCTCTTTGCCCGATTGCGGTGTCGATGATAATTATAATTAGGAAGAATTTAATCGAAGGCAATGTATCCAACGGTAGTTTGATTGAAAGCCAGAAGAGAACTAACAATACCTACATGTGTGTTACTAAGATTTATTGATTAACGAATGATTGACTTGATCGTAAAGTAGGATGATCTATTCAGCACTGTACGAAGATGGAGGGCGTCTTTGGATATCAAAAAAGGATTGTGAACTGTGTCGATATGGAGCTAGTTACCCATATTTACGTACGTGTCTATTAGTACGGCTATGAAGTTAATCATGAAGAAAACTATGGCGTAAAACCTAGTGTAGCAGGTTAGCATTTCATTGACAACGAAACTACTCATATGCTAGCAACGCCTCGTCCTACTACTAGGTTCGGAAGATTGCTGAGTCGATTATTGAAAGGAATGTTGGATAAGCTAGACGTGTGTATCAGCTTAGGCGTGGATTTAATTTAGCAAGATTATTGAGTGGATTCATTATTCAGAGGAATGTAGGGTAAATACGACCAGACTATCAGCTTTGTGCGTGGATTCCAACTGAACAAGGAATCCATAATCATTTTTATCACGTTTACAGTGGAAGAAACTTGGCATACGTCTAGTTAATCAGAGTATCGAGTTGATGAGAGTTTCAGAGGAGCGTTGTATTTCAAGCATTACCCTACGCAAAACGAAAGTACATGCATCGGTGGTTGATGAACTGCACTGCACTCTATCAAGCTACGAGTGGTATCTTATGCAAAGTATGATCAATAATGAAATTGCTAGCCACTGATGGGATTGGCATTCCCATTGGATGGCAGATTGATACAACAAGCATTCAACAACTTGGATGTTGGACAACTGCTGGCCGCCTCCCAACTCGACTCGCCTATTCTACTGTACGGGCATGCAGTAACCTCATTGCTATTGGTATGATTGTAGTTGTGCAGCTTATTCTACTGTATGATACGGTCTCGTTCTTCTCTACCATCTATCCCTACTTACTTGTTTCTTAGTATCCAATGGTCTAATAGAACAAGTAGTCGATTAATTATCGTCGTATCCAATCGATCACCAAACAACCAGGATATGCCTTGTCAAGCAAGAGGATAGTCAGTAGATTACTTCTATCAAGAGTAAATGAATGGACAAGAAGGCAATCGGTTTACCAGGGAATGGCTAATGATTTTAGATGATTTTAGATGATTTTAGATGGCCACTCATAAGATACAATCATGCTTATTCAAGTGGTTTACTAGCAATAATAATTTGCTCACGTTCCGTGGATCGCCAATGGCGAGTGCGACGTTGCGTCACCGCTGTGCCAGGAATACTCCACTATCCGATGGATTGTCTACTCTGCCAGTAGGTTGAGATTGACTCAAGTGATCAAGTCGACTACAAGATATTCCTTAATGCTACCAATGCAATCAATATTCTTCAATCTTGAATTTTAAGGCCAATTTTGGCCTTTTTTGGGGGCAAGGAGAAGGCAGGTAGGAAGAAATGATTGTGACTAATGGAGGCCGATGGGACGCGTTGACGACCTTCAACTTGAGTCATGATGTCGATTACTAGGCACAGTATAGGACACGGTCGAGTACACGATACACTATACAGTCGACTGTACCACTATCCACTTGGTCCCCACCCCCCATAGGGAATTGTTATTTACGGTATGCCTGCTCGGTGGCTTACTCTACGGACGGATGGAAAGAACAGACTGGTGTTGACATCAGTGATGTCATTTCCAGACTGTTGACTCGATGACATCATCACCTCGGGTTACGGAAAGACGGACGATCTGTGGTCACGTGGACAACTGGTAGTCGCCTAGACCTTAGCCTACTACGCTTTTAAGGCTTCATTCCCAAGGTGCGTCTCAGATGCGTCTCGGATGAACACTCACTCCTGTGCCTGCTCGATGGCTTACTTTACGGACGGATGGAAAGAACAGACTGGTGTTGACATCAGCAATGTCAACACCAGACTGTCGACTCGATGATATCATCACCTCGGGCTACGGAAAGACGGACGATCTGTGGTCACGTGGACAGCTGGTAGTCGCCTAGATTGAGACCTTAGCCAATTACGCTATGGCTTCATTCCCAAGGTGCGCCTCAGATGCGTCTCGGATGACACTTCTATGCCTGCTCGATAGCTTACTCTACGGACGGATGGAAAGAACAGACTGGTATTGACATCAGTGATGTCAACTACAGACTGTTGACTCGATAACATCGTCACCTCGGGCTACGGAAAGATGGACGATCTGTGGTCACGTGGACAACTGGTAGTGGCCTAGATTGAGACCTTAGCCTACTACGCTATGGCTTCATTCCCAAGGTGCGTCTCAGATGCGTCTCGGATGACACTCCTATGCCTGCTCGATGGCTTACTTTACGGACGGATGGAAAGAACAGACTGGTGTTGACATCACTGATGTCAACTGCAGACTGTCGACTCGATGATATCATCACCTCGGGTTACGGAAAGACGGACGATCCGTGGTCAAGTGGACAACCCTATGGCTTCATTCCCAAGGTGCGTCTCAGATGCGTTTCAGATGACACTCATTGTTCTCTCTTCACGGACTGATGATCACGTGACTGAGAAGCTTGCAGTCTGTTGATGGAAATCCTGAAGTAAACCTCGATCAATAAGCAAAGCTTGAGGAGGAAAGGATCGATCCCTATCCAATTGGATGGCTTGATTGCAAAAATTACATTATATTATCATAAAAAACGTATCACAAATGGACATGAAAGATACAGTCAGCGACTTGTCAAGTATTGGGTGCGAGCAAGGCCTAGAAAATCTTCTCTTACTACAGTTACAACGTGTACCTATCAGCATCAATTTTGCAGAAGCTGAAGCAAGCTCTTATTTTGACTCCGACAGTGCTACAAAATCAATCGGATGATCGTAATCATACGATGTTGTCCATTTCTATGCCTTTAACAAAGATTCATTTCCATTCACTCTCAAATTATAACATTTCCTACTGTATTGCACCCACTTTTACTGCAGGTACAGTGATGAACTTGTGACCTCGACCTCACCGATGTAAAAGAAAATCTTCTCTTACTATAGCTATCATATACTGAAAAAACGACCTCATCACCACTAACTTACACTAGTTGAAGGGAACAGTATACGTTCAAGTAAGTGGTTGGTCTACTCAAGAATGAATGCATCCGATGCTTTCCATTTCGATGCCTTTAAGATGTGCAGTAAGATATAAGGTGCCCTGGAAAAATGAAATATTGCTTTGTCAACAACGCTGCTACGGACAGTGTTATGGAAAGCCTCACGGAGTCGCAGTGGGCGGCAACTTCCCAAGTTCGGCATAAATGTACTGGACAAGGAAAGGTCATAAACTTTGGAGTACCGGCCGATCCTTTGAGACTACACGAGCAACTACACCGCTAGAAATTAGAAAAAAGAATCATGGCAGAAACTCTTTCCGCTGCTTTGTCCAACCAGGTTAGGATGATCCATTAGAAAATGCACTTAATGCCTGCATAGGAGTTTAGCATGGATTCATGACTGTATAATGACAATCATTTTATTGCCACACTATACTTTAAGCAGTAGACTGAGGGACTATTTTGATCGCGCTCGCAATCAATCAGCTATTCCTATACAATATACAATATGCCTATGGCAAGGTGATGGCTACTGCTTATTTCCTACAGATGGTTGCATTTCCCTAGCCATGATGCCTTTAGCATGGATTCATGACTCTATGATGACAATCATTTTATTGCCACACGGTGCCTTAAGCAGTAGACTGATGAACTATTTTGATCGCACTCGCAATCAATCAGCTATTCCTTTACAATATACAATATGCCTATGGCGAGGTGATGGCTAATGCTTATTTCCTACAGATGAATGCATTCCCCTAGCCATGATGACTGAATGCAGTATGCCAAGAGCTAAAACACACCAACAAATATAGCAATGATGCTTGCTGCTGCTCAACTTTACTAGACGATTCATGGCCCTTAATAATTATCGCTTTTGCTATTTTATGGATAAATCAAGTTATAGGATTTACACTTGTACATTCGATTCTACTTTGCCGGTACGACAATACTGTAGTTAAAGCGCCTGATGTTAATAACAACGTTTCATGCTCATTGAAGAGGCCAGTAGAGGATATACTAAGGCTGTTTTACGCATAGAGCTAGTAAAGTGATTGAGTCCGAAAGGGGCTATATAGTGAGGACAGATTGGTCTTTGATTGCAAATAGTCGAATGAGCATGTACTGTACTAATAGGATAGCAAGCCGTCTTCTGTACATTAGGGTAGCGCAGTAAACAAATTGTTTATTTGACCACAGCTTGCTGTACAGTACCGTATAATAATAATTATTATTAATTAGAAGGCAAGTGTTGATTGCTTTGCTTTTCCATTTCAGTGGATGCTGTTCAATGTCAACTCTTCTTTCAGCATCTCTCGCATATTGTACGAATACGAATATTTCTGAAAGTAATGATCAGATAATAAATGACTTTCTAGATGCTCTACATGCAAGTACGAGCATATCAAGACAAATTATGCTGTGTCATTCTCGATTTACCTTTATAATATTATACTAAGTCAACTTTTTCTAATAGCTGTGGATGGATAATGGGATAGATCTATTTAAACTTATAGCATATTAAATCTTCCATCATTATTTCAATGATTGAATGTGTAGTTACGGAAACTTCTACAGCAATCACCGATGCACTGTAGAGTCATTGATGGCACTCTTGCAAAATTGAAGTCTATAGCTAAGGGTGGACCTAGAAAACTTCAGGTTTGTA